GGGGGGGGGGAAGGCAGTATAATTCATAACACGTGGTAGCTCGTATCAGGTGCTGATTAAGCGCTTGTCATGTGTCCTCTTGTATAATCACCAACCTACTGGAAGACACTGGTTTTATCTCCGGCTTACAGAAGTGATTAAGCTGCTCACCTGAGTCTACATCTTGTTCTGTTCACAGAAGTACCTGCTAGATGCCAGAAGCCTTGGCAACATTGGCACGTGCATTCTCATAACAGGCCTGGGGAGGTGGGCGCTGCTGTGACCACCCTTGTACAGCGAGGGACACTGTGTATGAAGCACTAGCAGGGCTCTCTACACGGCTGCTCCAGCACCCAGGGCTGCATCAGGATAGGTCCGTGTAGCTTCTCCTTGGGGATGTCTTGTAGGAAGTCAATCTTGCAAACTGAAGCAGGGAACTGCTAAGACAGCTGCACCCTGGTGCGGCCATCACAAAGCAAGAGACCCGAGAACTAGAAAGGCGCGGCTCACTACCCATTTATCCCTCCGCCTTTCAATTAGCCCCACATGTGATTATCGGCCAGGTTGGCACAATTAGCTAACTCAGTGTCAGAGAGAGAGAGAGATTTCTTCCCCCGTCCCTTTTTAATGGCATACGGTAGCACCCTATTCTGTTTAGCACAGCCAGAGTGCTGCGTAGAGGCAAGGATGGCAAGGCTTGGTCCACTGTCGTCTGGACATGCTGTCAGGAGAAGGACCTGGTGCTTGGTAAGCCAGGGAAGGCCCTCAAGTTGGCGACTGACACAGTGGCTGCCACCCTGGGCCGCAGCAGCAGCTGACCTGTGAAGATGCTGACAGTCAACGGCAACAAGAGCAAAGCAAAGCAAAGCCATCTGACGTCTTGTCAGAACCCAGTTCCCACGGAGTTGCTGGAACAGAACCTTTTCATGAGACAAGGATGGCCTGGGCTTGATTTTTTTTTTTTTTTAAGTATTTTCAGTTTTTATTGTGATTCAGATTTTATTATGGTGCCGTTGGGGAGGGAGAGTTATTCATTTGTAACAAACTGCAACCCCCCCTGCTGTTCAGTTGATTTTGGCTCGTAATGACCCAGCGTAGGGTTTCTGAGGCTGTAGGTCTTTACGGGAGCACACAGCCTTATGTTTCTCCCAAGGAGTTCCTGGTGAGTTTGAACCACCAGTCTTAGGGTTAGCAGCCCCTGGTTCACCAGGATTCACTGCTAGCAAGACAATCCAACTCAGAGTGATCCTAATAGAATTGCCCCTGGGGGATTCTGAGGCTATAAATCTTCACAGAACCAAAAGCTTCCTCTTTCTCCCAGGGAGCAGCAGGTGGGGTCAGACCACAGGGGCCTTGTGGCTAACAAGTGGGCGAATGAGGTGGACTGACAAACCAAAACCCACTGCGCCCCCAGGGCACCTCCTACTGGTACCAAAGGCACAAGGCAGACCAGAGAGAAAGAGAGAGATGGTATCTGCTTTCAGCACCAAGGCTGAAAGATGGTACACGTGTGCCGGATGACAGGCCAGCCTTGGTGGACATCAGCATTTCCTGTTTCACCAGAGTGCTCGTGTGCATCACGTGACTGTCGATGGCTTTTCCCTCCTCAGGTGTACCTTGCTTGTGTTTGGAGTGTGGATCCTTTACCTCCTCAAGTTAAACTATGTTACTGAAGAATGTGACGTGAGAACCGTGCACTATGTGGACCCCGACCGTGTCAAGGTAAGGCAATTCCATGGTTGAAGGCTCTAGAGCCCATCTAAGCAGACCCATGTCCATATCGTCGTCCGTTACCTGGAACAAAAGGAGGCTTAAAACAGCTTCAGCACATCACAGGCAACCCCCAGAAGCCCACCACACCAGCAGCCCACCCACCGCGTTCGTCCTCCCCTTCCATGGCCCTGGTGTGGGGGTCCAGGGTTGTATGAGGGCGCTCGAGGGTCCGATGTGCACTCAGGGGCTATGGCAGTGCCAGAGAACTTGTCTTTAGGACAGAGGGGGGAGATCCTTCTCGTCCGCCTGTCGTCTCCGTGTTGTTCCTAGTTCTGATGATGTCACCGTCCCCAAGGAGTGAGGGGGATCCCACCATCTTGCCGTCTGTTGTTTCTACGCATCCTCTGTGTGTTTGAGGGCTTCCCTTAATTTATGCATTTTCCTAAGCCAGTTGTTGTGTCAAATGCCCATTGCACTGGTTATATGTGACTGCTCAAGTTAGCCGTTGATTCCGCCCATGCTCGTAGAACTGATGACTTCAAATAAAGGAGCCCCGGGCCTTCCTTCTCTGGAGGGGCTGGAACAGAGATACTGCAAAGGGAGGGATTCAACAAACCCATTTATTCTCTCACGGTGTCTCAGAAAACTTATTGCCCTCAAGTCGATATTAACTCATAGCAACCCTGGAGGGCAGGATGGGACTGGCCCCGTGGGCTTCCAAGACTGAAATCTTCATGCAAGTAGAAAGCCTCGTCTTTCTCCCACAGAGCGGCTGGTGGCTCTGAACTGCTGACCTGGTTAGCAGTCCCATGTATAACCCACTGCACCGGTCCCACACCCGAGGAGACTAGAATTCAGGGTGGTATCTGTAGAGAAAGCTTCATCTCTCTGCCTGCTCTGGGGGAAGGTCTTTGTCTCCTTTCAACATCTATGAGCCCAGCTTACCTTAAGAGAGTGGTTCTCAAACCTTCCTAATGCTACGACCCTTTCAAACAGTTCCTCATGTTGTGGTGCCCCCCCTCCCCCCGCAACCATAAAATGATTTTCATTGCTAGTCATTTTGCTACTATTATGAATCAGGGGACCCCTGTCAAAGGGTCCTTTGACCCTCCCCCCCAAAGGGGCTGCGACCCACAGGTTGAGAACCGCTGCCTTAAGAGCTCTACATGTGTCTCGTCCTCAGTCTCCCCGGGTCTAAGAGCTTCTCAGCACAGGGACCCTGCCTGCATCCAAGGACACACTGCTCCCAGCTCCTCTCTTGTTGATGCTGAAGTCCTTCCTCCCTCCGCTCACCTCTCTCTCCTTTTATGCCTTGTAAGATAAAAGATGATGCAGGCTGCACCCCAGGGAAACACCCCTGATGTTGGATCAAGGGTGCGGCCTGAGTGGAAGTCTTATATCCCACTCTAATTCTGTTATAACCTATTGGCTGATCACATCATGGGGGTCGGGGTCATTACATCACTACGGAACTGCCAAACCACGAGGAGTCATGGCCCAGTCTGGTTGACACCAG